GAATACTGGGCCAACATGGCCCGGGACCATGACAGTTATATTCACATAGATTATCGTGATGTTGTTTATTATGTTGCTCTTTTTTTTCTTTCTTCTGTTTGTTTTCTCTTTTTTCTTTCTCAACAGGTGATCCAGGTGATTGATAGATGGATTTTTTTGTCTGCTTATTTTGTTGTTTTTTTTGTTTTTTGCCCTTTATCCCCGTCCCTCTTCCCCCCTGTTTTTGTTTCCCTCTTTCTTTTCCCCAGTCGGTCCCGTATTTAACAAGTAAAAATAAAATAAAATAAACAATAAAAGGTGAATCAAATGGACCATTACGGCAAGGCTGGGATGGTCCATTTGGTAAAGTAAATCCGTTGGGCATCTTCCTTTGCCTTTAGACAATAATTCTGATGCAAAAGAGCCAAATGGGACAGGCAAAAAAGGAAAAAAAAAAAAAAAGGCCACTCAATGTTAAAATGTCCAATCATATGGCTGCTTTACGGCTAACAGCTCCAGTTTTGGTGCACAGTGAAATTCTGTGTCCTAAAGATGGTGTGGAGTCTCGTTTTATTCCATTTATAGATTTCCATTATAGTTAATTTATAGTTGGATTTTTCTTTTGGCCAATGAGAATCTCTCCTGTCAAACACATCAGTGCACGCATGAAATCAGATCTAAATGCTCAGACTCACTTGGGTATTTGATGCATTCACTGTAAGCCTGGATCAGTACAGCAAGACGCTGCCAGATCTGATCACTCTGCATAACCTTTGGCTTCCGCCTGCACCCGGCTCAGCGATGAAGAGTCATTATCGTGAGTTTGTCTACTACACGTAAAACAAACGTACCTTTCCACATCGGTAACCTGACAGCAGCAGCTCCCCCAGGCCCACAAACAGACGACAGGAGCTGACAATGTGCAGCGAAGCCAACTGCTGGGACACGGGGTTGTGGGCGGGTGGGCTGTCCTGGGCTCTGTGGGGCCAGGCGGCGAGCAATTAAACTGATCACTTAATACCTGATAATCTGCACGACCTGTCGCAAATGATTAACATCCCACAGAGGCCGGGCGCCAGCGAGGACACGCTAACACCGCTGCAGAGCCTCCAGACCACCATCACCTACACCTACGCACCTCATCTGTAGCTTTACCTGCAGAAGAAACAAACCTTCCACTTAAACCTGCAGTATAGTTTACTGGCTGCATCAATGAAACTGAAAGAGATGTCCCTGAGGTTTTGTGCTGTTATGTAGATATTAAACAGATCCATGTGTCACAGTTTTAACTGACTTTTTTCTATTTTTAGTAACTGGTCATTAATGAAATAATGGAACATTCACCAGTTTAATGTTGCTGGTTTAAAGCGATCGATTCCATGTACAATAAAATTATATCTAAAGAGAAGCCTGGTCACATATTCTCCACCTGAAAACGTCTTTTACCCTCACTTCTAAAGTGAGGCACATATTTCAGATGTTCCAACATCTGACAAAGTTTTAACATTAACTGAGCCCACCTCAGGGTCTTTGTCCACAGACACAGATGACTGAGTGTTTTACCTGACAGTAGGTTAAAGTCTTCTAGCTCTTCCTTCACAGTCATCATCAGCTCTTTGTCCACCTGTTAAGGCCTACAGAGGAGTAGACTACACCCCTGGAACCTCCGGTCACTTGGGAAAAACGTGTGTTCCCGCAGTGGTTGTGGATGGTTTCAGGAGGCTTGCTGGGTGAGATCGGTTGCAAAGAGGTTGCTGCACCAAAAACCTCCTTGCAACTGCTTTGATCACAGGCAGACGGCTGCGATCAGCTGAAGTTTTTAATGAAAGATGCAGACCTTTCTGGAAAATATTAACATTTACACTCTGAGCAAAAGTGTAGCTTTAAAACATGCAGTGCAAACCAGCAAAGGTGGAACTTTTACTTTGAAGGTGAAAGGTCTCCAGTCAGCATTTTCACAGTGTCACTAGCACTTGGTGAATCATTCTTCCACGTGAACAACAGGTGATGCTGATGCACCTCTCTGCAGCAACCAGCTGGAGAGTTACACCAACTTGTATCTGAGATGTCACATTAGCAAAATGCTTCTTTTAATCCAAAAACCAATGAGGACTGAGAACTGAAAGGTAAAAACAGCCGAATTCTTATTTGTCTTCTTCTTGATTAGCTGCATCCTTGCACTGTATGATTTCATCACACATACTAATTCCACTTAGTGAAGTCTCCTCTAAAGTTTGGGGAAATAAACTCAGCTGGACAATAAGGTTTAAGTTCAGACGTAACTTCTGCTGTTAAGCTGGACATTTAAAGCTGAACATCCTTTATGTGGACATTAAAAGAACTGCAGTTTCTGTCTCATGCCACTCACTTCATTTTTCAGCCGTTGAAAGTTGCTGCTTGAGCGTCACCCCACCTCCCCCAAGAGCTGTGAAAGCCAGGATTTAATTTCATTCAAATGTTCCAGCAAAGAGAGGATCACATGAAAATGAAGGAAGAGAAGGAAGTGAGTTCAGGTTTGAATGTTTGCTTCCAGTGTTGTGTTAAATATCTGTGCAGCCAAATGAACAGATAACTTATTTTCTTCAGTCTAAACTGATGAAAATGCACGCTGATCCGTGAGCTATGCAAATGTGCAGAGAGCTGCAGCGCGTGAGGATTACTGTTTGGTGTTTGCATATTTAATCTGCTCCTGTCTGTTTGCCGTCTTTCTCTGTATGTTTAAGTGTCAAATAAAAGCACGAGAGGGGGAACACAAAGAGGAGACTCCCTGCGGGGAGGCGCAGCAGATGTTTTCCCCAGCTTGAGTGATGGGGATGGATCCACACGCTGACAGATTATTACCAGACACAGGAAGCTGTGCAGGAAACCCGAACTGCTGGCTCACGTTTCACTTTCATGTCTCATTCATAGCCAGTACATAAAAAGAAGTAAGGGATGCTTATCATGGAGTGTGTTTGTTTGATTGCCAGGAGTCATGCTGTTTAATACAGTTGAGCTGAATACTTCATAACACTCATAAAACACTCCTGTTTGATTTCTCCAACATTCAACACTTCAATATGTTTCCAGCACCTTGTTGAATCTGTGCCATGGAGAGTTAATGCAGTTCTGTAGCCCTAACACTGGTCCTAACATGGCGTGTATAATAATGGTGAGTCTACATTAGAGCTGCTTAACCTCCTAAGACCTGAACTCTTCCATGGCAGCATTTTTAATTTCTCTTTGATATTTGGGCATATTGGGACCTGATGAATGTAAAAACAAAGAATCACCAATTTTTTTTTAAACCAATTTTTGTTTCTAAGAAAAATGAGAGCCACATATGAGGATATTTGTTTTAAATTTTAAATTTTAGATGTCCCCAGCTGAAACTTGGACCAAACTGGGTCATCAACAGGACCGCAGCAGATCTCCAACAGAACAACTGAAAAAGAAAAGAATGGAGCTGCTGCAGAGCTCAGAGAGCTGTGCATGAATGAATGCTGCAAACCTGAATGAAACGAAGCAACGCCGCAAAGAAGAGTGGAGCAAAACTCCTCCACAACCCCCTGATAGACTGATGAGATGACACAGAAACTACCACTGCAACGTGTTGCTGTTGAGTACATTCCTGCAATAAACCATCAGTCAATCTGATGTTGATATCTAGGTGATATCCACGCATGTGTTTACGCCTAACCTGGCTCGTCTGTCCATCAGCAGCAGGTCCCTTTGCAGCCGTGGATTTTTATCTCTTTCTAAACTCAGAACGTGGTTGTTGTTTACTTCAGTTCCAGCTAAAATAACGGAGGTTCATAACATTCACGCAGAGGAGGCAAAACCAAAGCGTTCTGGAGGTGAAACCATGGAACGACTGTCACTGGATGCCTTTTCATCAGGGTCACTCAGGGTTTGGTGGTTTGATCCCTCAATGCTCCAGTCAGCATGCCAAAGTGCCCTTGGGCCAGACACTGAACCCTGATGGACTCATCGCACTGTGACTCTGAATGTGTGCCTGCATGTTTTAGACAAAACATCGATTCAAATGTGTGTGAGAGAAGTAGTAAGGATCAGTTAGAGTAGAAAAACATTACATAAGGACTGATCCTGAGGCACGTGAGTGTGCTGATCCCTGTACCTCTCTTCACCCCACTGCGGAGGTAAACCGGCAGGAGGTCCGGACTAATTCCTGACCCTATGTCAACTTTTAATGCCTTTAATTTAAATTATCCTTCCACAACTACAGATGATATGATTGTTTTCCTACAATCAAGCAGCTGTCTTTTTGGAGGGCTGATGACGTGTTAAGTTGTAGGTCTGTGACCTGAGAGATGGTGGTCAGAGATAGACTATTTTATAGTAGCAGCCCATAATCTCAGAGTCCGTGCAGCTATTAGTTTGTTCATTTTACAATAAATTCTCTGGTTTGAGCATCTCGGCTGTGCACGTTTGGTTAAACTGTGCAGTTCTAACTTGGCCTATCGAAAGCTTTCATGCATGCAAAGCGATGCAAAGACGAGTAACAACAACAGAGAAAATTCACAGGAATAAAAAAATTTAAATTAAATTACTGGATTAAATCATCTGTACTTGCAGCCAAACTTTGGTTCTCATAAGCTAAGAGTTCATTCTGCTCTTTCACCCGACAACAGCAGCACTGTTTTATCTGAAATGTGTGACCTTCAGGTGCAACATGAGTAAATCAGAGCACTGGAGTAAAAAAGTATGTGCCACTAAAATCTGGTGGAAGGCAAAACAATAGAATAAGAATGGAAATCCGCGCGGAGCAGCGAGCGCTGCACTGTCCTTTAAAGCGTCTCTGACCCAGAACTGCGTACAAGCATGTGGACTTAAACTCCGCGGCATCTGGCCCCAAACAGCCTGTAAACCTGCTTCACCTCTGAAGTCTGCGACCCACATGAGCAGAGAGCGAGGCAGAAAAACAAAAGCACTGAAGCATGTACAGGAGACAAGTTTCTCCATTAAAACAAAGAGAGAGAGAGGATGGAGGAGGAGGAGGAGCAGAGGAAGAATTAGCTTACCAGTAGAGTAGAGACAGCCCATCGAATCGCTCAGCGTCCTGGGGGAGGAATGGCATCGCACGATGGCCTCAGACAAACAAATAAAGAGCTCTCACACAAACGCACACACAAAGAAAAAAAACAGGAGCGAGACGGGCGGCCGAGAGGAGGAGACGATGAGATGAGAAGAGGCGGCAGCGGCGGTTCAAACCGGGACGGTGTGTGTGACCGCACAGAGAGGAGAGGAATGGAAATCCGCCTAGACAGGGAGAGACACGCTTACCTTTACTCACTAATCCGTGCTGATACCCGTCCCTCACACACACACACACACACACACACGCGCGCGCACACACACAAACACACACGCACGCACGCACACACGCGCGCGCGCGCACGCACACACACACACACCCACACGCGCGCGCACGCACACACACACACACACACGCACACACACACACACGCACGCACACACACACACACGCACGCACACACCAAACTTTAAAGTTTCCTTCAGCTGCAGGATGAGAGCATTAAACAGGAGATTAAATGTGTTGAAATGTAGACTCTGTGGGTGAAGATCACCTGTAAGCAGGGGCAGGAAGTTCAGTTCAGGCTCACATTTGGAGACTGGTTGGGATGGTCTCCTGGTTCATACATCATCACAAAGTTTGAACTCTTTACACCACTGCAGCTGAAATCTAGGCCCAGTACTCGTTAGCTTCCTTCAGCTGTAATATCAGCAGTGCGAGCTGCTTACATCAAACCAAAGTGTCAGGCGTGCTTACTGTCCCATTCCCAGCTGATGAACACGACTCTGCTGAGCCTGATACTCACATCATGACTTTAGAGCAAAGACTGGACTTCTCCTTTTAAATGTATGTAGTTTGTTGCCCAAGATGGACTTTTTTCATATTTGGGTATAATCCATGACTCAACACATTTATCACTGACAAACAACTTAGCATTGAAGCCAGGGCTTTGTCACTGATTCTGTTCATAAGTTTTATGGACAGGATTTCTAGGCGCAGCCAACTGGCGGAGGGCTTTCACTTGGGTGGTCTCAGAATCTCATCTCTGCTTTGCGCGGATGATGTGGTTCTGTTGGCTTCATCGGGTGAAGGCCTCCAGCTGGCACTGGAATGGTTCGCAGCCGAGTGTGAAGCGGCGGAAATGAGGATCAGCACCTCCAAATCTGAGGCCATGGTTCTCAGCCGGAAAAGGGTGGAGTGCCCACTCCAGGTCTGGGCCTCTCTGCTTAGGCTGCTGCCCCCGCGACCCGGCCTCGGATAAGCAGAAGAAGATGGATGGATGGACATTATGTATGTAACACACTGTGTCATTGCTACAAATATATATATTTTTTTAAAACCAAGCCCTAAATGATTATTACATTGTAACTGCCCATTATCTACATCTTTTTGAGGTCTGATCATTTTTTGATCTTGCTTCCTTGATGTGATTCCCAGGGTTCAGTCCTGGGGCCATTATTATTCACCTGATATTATAATGTTGATCAAGGAGTATCGAACACTAATTTCCATTTTTATGCCGACGACACTGTGATGTATTCCACACCTCAGCTCCAACAATCATTTAATACTGTTCAGCAAACTTTGTGCTGTTCAAAATTACTTTTCAATGCAAAAAAATAAATACATGTTGTTTCCAACACTAAATTAAATTCTTTGACTTTTCCATCTATCACAGCTCTTCGTGGTTGGAAGACTGATTTGGTATCTAACTCTTGACTGGTGATTCTCTCTCCTCCCTCCAAGTCTCATATCAAACAGTTGGTGTCATGAACGTGATGAACATGGAAACATGAGCCCTTCACAATAAAACAGGAAACAGAGGAACATGATGCCGGACAGGAGGAGAGGCAGACGAGAGGAAGCGAGGAACACGAGGGAGAGAGAGAGAGCAGACATGACGGGCTGGGAAACAGATAAACATGGCGAGGTAAAACACAAGGAGGGGAAACAAGGCACAAGAACTCACATAAGCACAAACAGACACTCAGAGGGCAAAGACACAAGGAGGAAAAGCTAAACAGAACAACCTAGGTACTACAGAATAACCTTAGACTAACAAAGTGAACGAAACAACAAAAACACCAGAGAACTGAGAGCGCTGGGACCCTGGTCCATGACAAGTTGGAAAAAAAACTGAAACCGTAAATTCAGATTTGTCTTTAGAGTGAAGTCTTATCAGTGGGAACATTAAACCATTAGGATATTCTCATTTATAAATGATCTGCAGCAGATCTTCCAGATATAAATTTATAAGGATCCTTTACAAGGATCTTGTTTCTCTGAGTCTATTTAAACAAATGCTTAATATTTTAAACACTCAAAGATCTGCATGCAAATGTGTTGTTTGTTGAATTATTTGGTGACACTGTTGAACTTTTTATTTAGATTTTTGTGATCAATGATGTTTCATAATTTGTAAATTTAGTTTTGTTCAGGTCACCTTGTAAATAAGATTTTAAATCTCAGTGGGTCTTTCCTGGTTAAATAAAGAATTAATAATTAATTATGACGTGCTTAAATTTCAGATTTGTTATGAACTCTTTAATGTCCAGCGTCTTTGTCTTCACTGAGACTGAAAGCTTGGAGTCATTTTTAATGCTGCTCTTTACAGGTGAGTTCATTGAGACAACAGAAAAAGACACGAGTGTTTTAGAGCTTCACCATCTTTCCTTTATGATTTTACAGCTTTATTATCAGTTTCTGTTTGAGCAGCAGCTGAGTCGTCTTTTATTTTCTGCTAAACTCTGAATCTTATTATTACTATTAACCTCTGGTGCTGGTGAGTAACTGAGCAGTTTTTAGTTAGTTCTTTAATGTAATATGAAATATTTCCAGTTCTGAGCTGTCAGGGTTCAATTCTAAAGTTTAGCTGATATTTATACAATCAAACACTCATCTGTGTGAGTCACAGGAAGTGTAAAGCAGGAGAAAACAGTCTTAGAAACCCTACACCTCTGTGGATCAGGCCAACCCACAGCTCAACAGAAACACCGAGATTTCAACACTTCCTCATTCTTCATCGTGTTTGTCCCCACAGAAGGAAACAAGTTTCACCCTCAGGTCGTCAGCAATGACGCATCAAAGACATTGGCCGGCGAGAATATCAGTAAATGTGATGACCTCTAACCCAGAAACACGCGAGCTAAAACCACAGAGGTCTGTTCGTCACCTGGTTCCATGGTAACCAAGCAAACTATTAACAAACCTGGACTGTTTATGAGCGCAGATTCACGGGTCAAGGAAGTGCTCGTGGTCACGTATAAACAAAGCTTTTTAATATATATCTAACTTTATAACAACATCATGAGGTCGGAATCATGGAAAGCAGCTCTGGTGGAGTCTCAGAGAATAATAAAGAGCAGTAAAGCAGTGAAAAGCAGAATAGGCTGTAAAGTTTTCAGTAACTTGGACGCCTGGAAAGGATTCCCTGTAAAATCTAAATATTTGTATAACCAGTTAAATGCTGGTGCTAAAGTATGTCATGTTACTGGTAGCACTCTTGGCTGAGTAGTTTTCCTCGGCCCCTCAGTTTGTGAAATGTGTTGTGAAATTTTTTTGACTCTGACTTCGTTCACACTCTGTACCAGCCTCTGTGGGGCAACGGGCTGACGAGGAAGATCCTCTCGTGGGAGACATAACTACCCGACAAAGATCATTCCTCCTCGGACACTTTATGAATGAACGTCTCGCGTTGGGACTGGTGAGTACTGGATTCATCCTCTGATTCTCTGGATCAGATGTGGAAACATACACAGGCCTGTTTAATCCGCGTGTGCTGACATATATTCTCAGTGTAAACTCCTTAAAAGTGCCACATATAAACTAAAAATAAATAACCTTCCATGCATATTTTTAAAAATGTTTATTTTTCCTGGAACAGCTGTGATGCTATGATAGAGCTATCTGTGTTTATTGTAATTTAATAACTGAATCCTGTAGCTGGGAACTTCAGGCCATTAAAACTTCATGTTGATTGAATATTATATGGCACAATAACACCGTAATGGCACACTTCTTTGTTAAATCATAATCAGAATACTTTATTAATCCTTAAGGAAACTGTGTAGGTTACAGTTGCTCCAAGACAGTAACAGTAACAGACTCAGCTATTTTAATAATATGTTACATTGTTTACAAATTTAAGAAATTGCACTAAAATAAACAAATCAGTCAATTATAAATATCAAGAATATTGAAAAGAATATCACAGACGTGAGAATGTATTTGATTGACATTTGACTCTAACTTGTGAACTTTGTCATTTGTTGTTTCACTGTAAAAGAAAGTATTTTGACTTAATTAAACATTTTTTAGGTCTTTCTTCTGTTTGTTTAATATTTTGGATCCCAGCATGTCCAGGACTTGTGAAAGAGTGGAAGTGATTCATGTCATCTTTGATAAAAATCTAAATTCTGCTGTTTTAAAACAGAAAAAAAGGAAGAACAAGAGGAAGCTTCAAATTTCAAGAGTTTGGAAACTTTCCAAGGTGTGGTCACACAGACTTTCCCCCTCGCTCAGATTTAACCACCAAACCCACAGATATTTTTAACAGTCAAACTTAAGAATAATCCTCAATAAACTTCAAGGACTTTCTGCCCGAGTCACCAAAATGACCTCAGAGCCAAACTTCACCACCGCCTCAAACCTCACCACCCCCTCTGCCAATGGTGGCTGCCCACCTGTCGGTATTGGGCTGGAAGGTAAGATCTTTTTTGTTATTCTCTTTTTATTAAACAACCTATATAAACACAAATAATCCAAAATAAACATATAAACAAGATCAGATGTAAATAAAAATAAATAAATAAATAAATAAATAAATAAATAAAAAAAACCCAAAAAACCCAAAAACAGACGGGTGTACCCTCTAGAGTGTATGTACTCGCACACACATATTCACTCACACACCCATATTCTTAGGCATACATACACATACCTACTTACATATGTGTTCACTTATGGTCTCATACATACTAACATATACATATAAACACATAACGATTCAAAAAATGTGGCATATATAGTTACAGAGATTCAAACAAGATCGGGTCTCCTTAACTGGATGTAGTGTTTCCATTTACCCCAAATTTCACTAAATATATCAAACTGGAGTCTTTTAATGAAGGTAATTCTTTCCATTTTAAACATCCCATATACACTCTCATGCCAATCACCCAGTGATGGAATTTTCGCACTAAGCCATTTCTTGGTAATAATTTTA